GAGAAAGAAAGAAAGAAAGAAAGAAAGAAAGAAAGAAAGAAAGAAAGAAAGAAAGAAAGAAAGAAAGAAAGAAAGAAAGAAAAGAAAGAAAGGAAACAGAAAATTGTCTCCTGTCCCAGTGATCTGTTCTCGAGTGTGGGGACAGGTGACACAGCCATGTGTGATTTCACTTCCTCTCCTCCTTTCCTGGCTCTGGGGTGCTGTAGACTTAGGGGCCCTCGGAAGCAGTTTTCACCTGCATTGTCACCTCACTTTCCCAGTTTTTCCCAAAGAGGGTCAAAGTGTGCGCACAGACAGAGATCTCAAAGCTTGGGGCTCTGATTTCTCACAAAAGTGTGAGTCTCAGGTTTGCCACCTGTCACGACTCTAAAATCTGCAATAGTAGTGTGCAAGCAAATCTTGAAACACAGATTCTGACTGAGTGTCCTAGGCCAGCTGAGATTCCGCCCTTCTAATGGATGCCCAAGCAAGCCCATGCTGAGTGCCCAAACTCATCACCTGGACTAGGGATGTCTGAAGAGAGACTGTCTGAAGCCTGATCCAGCTTGGTCAGCCTCAGCTGGCCTGACTGTTAGAACTGCCTGTAGAGCATCACAGAGTGCTGATGACTTGGTGACATTCCCCGGGGTGCACCCTGTGATAATACTACATGTTTCCTTGGTAATTCCTGCTCTTGACCCCAATTCAGACTCTATATTGACATCATTGAGAGCAGTTGGAACCATGTAGACGTCTGCAGGGGATGGAAGAGGCTGTAGTGACCGAGCATCCCCTGCAGAGGAGCACAGGGGTCCAGGCATAGAAGAGTGACCACTCTTCCAGGTCTCTGAACAGTACAGAACCTCTCTCTGCCTCACCTCTTCATGTATAAATAGAACCTTCCAGCTACCTCTGATGGAGGGACACAGTTCTGGCTAAGGGGTCAGTAAATGGAGCAATTATTCATACACAGAACTTGGACCAAATGACCTTAGGGCAGGTTGAGAGCTTCGAGAACTAGGATTCATGCTTTCCACATAAAAACCACAGAATGACAGATGTCCCTTCTTGAGAGACCCTTGTACCATATAAAATGGTTCAATATAAGTATCATTTCCTTCTGTTCCTACTGTAAGGTCAGGACCAAGTGGCTTCATTTTTAAAGATCCCAACTGTAAAAATCTAAATATTTTTAGAATTTAATATCCTTCTCAGAAAACACTTTGTGGTCTGAAGTGAAAGACCTTTATTTGAAACAAATATTTTTTAAACCTCTTTTATTCTGTAGCAGGGTATGTGGAATCACATCATATCAACAAATCTAGTGGGTTTATTTATTTGTTCATATTAAAACGACAACTTTGTAAACAATCCCTGTACAGGCTTGGCTTTGTTCTACTGTTCATGAAATATGCAATAGAGGCAGAACAAACAATTTCAGCACTAGGGAGTTATGGACACTGGTCTGGGTGTTTGGGGTTTTGTTTTCGTTTTGTGGAGGGCCAGGGCAGGAGAGGACACTGTGGCTGAGGTCTGCTGGGTGGCAGGGACATTGTGAGTAAGAGACTGAGTTAAGCAATTTTCTACCATTGCAACAAACACCTGAGATGACCAGTCTAAAAAGAAAGGTCTATATTTCAGCTAGCACACTATGGTGGGCTGGCCCATTGTTTGGGATCTTGGGTGAGGCAGCAGGTCATGGAGGTTAGCACGCAGGGAAACAAAGTCATTTACATCATGGCCAAGAAACGAGAAAGAGCAAGAAAGGGCTCAGGTGTTATATCTCCTTCAAGGGCACGGCCCCAGTGACCGGAAGACCTGAAAAGTGAAACGTGAACCCCAGGTCTGTCTCCTCCCCATCCCTCTGACTTTGGTTCTTAGAACTGCCAGAGGAACTCACAAGCAAGCAGATGCTCCTGGTCTGCTGTGCCCTGGGCACGGGATCTGAGACTTCATCTTCAGCCAGCATCCAGCCTGCCCTAGGATTCTGTCAGGGCACTAGTTCTGTTCTAAGTTGCACTGCATTGAGCTGGCCCGCACTGGCTGCTGTCCTGGGGCTCGTGTGTATCCTCTCATGACATGTACGTGTGTTCTGTGGCATAGAGCACAAACATGTTCAGACACACTTGCATCCATGTGTAAAGCTCACTCTCTGCCCACAGAGACATCAGCCAGTGAAAACCAGCATCTTACTCTCAGACTGAGAGGAGTAAATAGAGCTTCCTGTGAACAAATTTATGTAGTACCAGCCTGTGCTCACTTCCGCTGGCCAACACCTGCCCAGACACGGTCACACAAAGCCACCCCTCATTGTCATGACCACGCTAAGATTGCTGTCAGGTCTCCATCTACAGTTGGAAATTACACCTCCCACTGCCCTGTAAACAGCCCTGAACCTGCTCTCTATGGTAATTAATATTTTGTGAATACTTCAGTGGTTACTCTCTGCACCTGAGCAGTCAGAATGCCAGGGTTGGTTCCCTAATGGCACCAACTCCATGGCTCTCTGGCCTATGGTCTTTGGGTCAAATTGGCCTGGTTGAACTCCAAGTTTTCTCTGTATTTGAATGAGTTGGTTAACCTCAGAACTTACCCTCTGAAGAGATATAACAGCACTTCACTCATGGATGTTATGACAATTAAATAAAGTGGGTGGCAGAGGGACAATCTAGCCTTTAGCAAGCTTTCAGCAAATTCACTCACTCACAGGTGTTAACTGAGCACCTGTTTGTTGCCTCCCAATAAATTGCTAACTAGTAGTTTGTAGCTTGTAGCATGAATCTTAAAAGTTCTTATTAATAAAATCAAACCCGAGGCGAGTTATTGGGGTCCATGCTGGTAGATCAGAGAGACAGAACAAGCCACAGCTAATCTCACCTGGTCAACTTCTCAGCTGGTCTTGTTTCCTCAGACTGGAAGCTTCTGTGTCCTCATCCCAATGGCTCTCAGCTGAACTGCTGCTGGAAAGCCTGAAGCTTAACCAGCCACATGCTTAACCAGCCAAATGCTGCTAGTTTCTGGTCCTCACGCCTTATATATCTTTCTGCTTTCTACCACTACTCTCTGGGATTAAAGGCTGGCTTTCTGGGATTAAAGGCGTGTGTCACCATGCTTGGCTGTTTCCAATGTGGCCTTGAACTCACAGAGATCCAGAGGGATTTCTGTCTCTGGAATGCTAGGATTAAAGGCATGTGCTATCACTGCCTAACTAGTGGCTTTTCTGTTCTCTGACCCCAGATAAGTTTATTAAGGTACACGATATTTTGGGGAACACAATACCACCACAGTAGCTGGAAGTTTTCCTGTGTCTCTCCCAGCCCTGTAGTCAGGATGAATCTCTCCCACCTTGTGTCCCACAACCGCTTGGTCCCAAATAAACACAGAGAGGCTTATATTATTTTCCAACTATTTGGCCTAATGGCTCAGACTTCTCACTAGCTAGCTCTTACATCTTAAATTAACCCATTTCTATAAATCTATACTTTGCCACATGGCTTGTGGCTTTACCTGTATGCCATTACATACTGCATGGTGGCGTCTCCTCTGCCTCTTTTCTTCCTGTCTCTCTCCTGGATTTCCCACCTGCCTCTAAGCTGCCTTGCCATAGGCCAAACAGCTTTATTTATCAACCAATCAGAGCAACACATATTCACAGCACACAGAAAGACATCCCACAGCAGTAGTTCCTTGGGAGGCACAGTGCAACAGTGAGTGAACAAGATGTAGACACCCCTCTCTATTTGGTACAGCCTTTCTGTGATGGTAGATATCATTATGATCATTATTATTTCCAGGCCTTCTATCCCCAAGGGCTGTATTGATGCTAGCTACATGAGGGAAGTAGGTAATGATACTAAGCTACATACAGAGACCCAGGCCCCTTGTTTAGGCAACAGCTCACAGCTACGCTTAAGTTTATTGCAACTGATCATAATTCAGGTGTCTGTTAATTCAACTTTGTGTGTATGACTCTTTGAATAAATGGTAAAATATAAGTCCATCATATATGCACCAGAGTTGTTGATGTTCTCAGGTGGGAAAGGAGGCCAGGCTCCTTGAAGATGCTCATCTTTCACAGGAGAGGGACATGGAAATCTCCCACACCAAACTGGGATCCCACCCACTGCAGACCTTGTGGCCAGTGAGTACACAGTAAATGAGGCTCTCAGAGCTGCATGGCTCCTTTTACTGTACAGACTTCCAAGTATTCCATTTAGATTCAAGTTGTTGTGTCTGAAGAATTGCAAAAGAAAATATCAGAGATACCGAGGACTCCAAAAAAGTAGGAAACATTTTGGAGGTGGTGAAAGCCAAGAAAAAATAGTTTTGCTGTCTATTTTGAATAAGCACTGATTTGTTATATGATATTTTGTTTGTATTCTGACAAATAAAGCTTGCCCGGAGATCAGAGGGTAGAGCTAGCCAATAGTTAATTATAGAGCCAGGTGGTGGTGGTGCACACCTTTAATCCCAGTACTTGGGAGGCTCATGCCTTTGATTCACACTTCACTGGTTACTTAAATTCTTTGTGTGTGTAGATTTTCCTTTGCAGTGAGGAACTTACCCGACTCCATTTTGAAGACAGGAGCCATTATGTGAGAGTTGAGTTGCTCTCTGTTTCCTGGAACCTGACCTTCCTCAACCTGTGACCTTGATTTGTTTTTTGAGAATATCTTACCCTCCCTAAACCCTCCCTAATCACATGGTGGGTGACCACATGATGTTTTGTTTTTAAGATTTTTTTGTATTTCCATATTGCCCCCATTGTCTCCCTTCTGTAAAACTACTCATGACTTTACTCCTCAAAAGGGGCCCAAAGAGATGGATTCAGGGCTGCTTTCTTTAACCTGACTTAGGAGGCAGTCCTCCGCCAGCTCTTGGGTGCACCCCAATTAAAAAAATTTAAAAAAAATCAAGCTTGCTTCAAATTTGGCTGAAATTGTAGTAGTGGTCTTATCATTTGGATTAACAGTAGCCTAGTCACAGATCCTGGAAAAGTTGTATGAGACAATCAACTCCAAACATAGTATGTTTAAACGCTGTGCTGTATTCAAGGCGGGCTGGAAAGCAAGGTATGTGCACATTTTCCCACAATCAAATCTGATTCTTCACACTTAATAAATGTGGAATAAATGTTAGAAGTATATTGGCTTGAAGTGGGGCCAAGCTGCTCAGGAGCCCTCATGTGTGGTCTTGCCCAGTTGGGCTGCAGTTCTGGGTGATCTGTATCAGTCACAGGTGAGGCTGACGTGCTCAATGGCTTAGCAATCCAGAAAACATAACCCTTGGTAATTAAAATTGCATTCATAAAGCACCCGAACTGTGGTTAAGGAGGCATGCAGTAATGAGCTAGCCTCACCTTGCACAGCAACAGAGCTGGTGGATAAGGGAAGAGCTAGCCCCGGGCCAGTGCAGTGCTGGAGGACCTTTAAAATACAGCCCAGCTGTGAGACCCGTCAGGAAGCCAAGGACAGAGGCAGTGGCTCCTGCATTATTCAGCTTGACCTTCACCCATCAGTCCTCATGCACATGCAGGGGAGGGGGCAGAAAGATGGTTGCATTATGAGTGCATTGAAGGCCCTGTGAATGGGGAGGGATGACACAACTTCCTCTTGCACATTTCTGGCTTTCAACCAGGGGACAGGAAACTTTTTTTTTTTTTAAGACAGACAACAAACACATTTTGACCTCTGGACTCAGAGGTCTTAACTTCTCAACTCTGCTCTCGTAGCACCAACGATGTGTTCCAATAGAACAGGCTTCATAAAAACCGGCAGCAGCTGGTTGACATGTTACTGTCAAGTTCGGACCTCAGCTCGAGCTGAGAGTTAGCAAGCACTGTCACTGTCCCTGCCTCAGGCCTGTTCATTTGTGATGCTGATGCTGCTGGGTGACATCGGTTATGTGCATGGTGTGTAGTCCCCTGGCCTCTGGCCTTCCATTCTGACTTCTGCAGACCTTTGCTGAATGACTTTGGGTAAGACATGAGTATCCTGTCATCTGGAAAACATCCCCACCAAAGCTGGTTGTGGTGGTGTATGCCTGTGATCCCAGTACTTGGTAAACTGAGGCAGAAAGATCCTAAGTTCAGATCAGGTTGGGTTATACAGCAAGACTGTCTAAATAAAAACAAACAAAAAGCAAAACAAAAATACCCAACTCTGGGTCATGGAGCAGAGCCTCAGAGTCAGCCTGCTTCTTCTCCATCATCATCTTTCCCAACATCAGCCTCCTGCTTCCCTGTCACTCTCTTCCCTATCCAAGCATACTTTGCCCTCCCACTCACGAAGAAGCGGTCTGAAAGGCTGGGTAAGGGGGTGCTCACCTTTAACTCTAGTACCTATGAGATGGAAGCCAAGGACCAGGAGTTAAAGGCCAGTCCAGGCACAGGAGCTCCTACCCGAGGGCAGGGACAAGACCAAGACAGTCCAGGAGTGTTTGTGTCCACAAAGCCAAATTCTCCAGTGTCCTCCAGTCAGGAAGACCTTTATAGCCATTAGGAGGCTGATTTCCAACTCATTTAAAAGCTGCCTTAATAAAAACACATTGTGTGTCTTGGTATTTGTCCTGAGTGTTTTTCCACTGGCATTTAAAATGAAGGGTTTTGTTCCGTCTTTCATTTCTCCTTGCGTCCTTGGCAACAGTGGATCCATACCGACGCTTCACCCTTTCCTGGCCCTCAGTGAAGACTTGAGAGTCAGCCAAGCAGCCAAATAACTTCTGTCTCTTGTCTTTCTCCAGGACCAGGACAGCATGCCAAAGGGATGACCTCACCGCACAGCAGCCAGCCCTCTGCTTCCTGTTTCTTTCCTCCTGAGGAGCCCTGAATCATATCAGCAGTATCTCTGGACTCCGGGCTCATTTCCCCATTCTGAAAAATGTCTGGAGTTAGAGGAGATGGGAGCCAAGTGTAATCAAAATAAGTCCCACGCTGCTTTCTCCCTGCAGAGTTGGACCACATGCTGCAATGGTCCTGAAGGAAAGCGCACCATCTGGTTTGATTCAGCCACACATCCAGCTCCCAGGTCACACCCTAGTGATCTCATGTGACATGTTGGACACTCACTGTGCTCCAGGCAGGCTCTGTAAGTGCTGACTCTTGGCACACATGGACTATGTGCTCTAGGGATAAGTTTTCTTAGATATAAATCCAGATGAATGTTTCAGGCTATTATGAATTAGAGAGCACACCATGATCAAGGTTAAGTTTTGCTGTGTTTGTCCCCCCACACAGTTTGAAGTCTCTGACCTCAGGCAAAGCATTTATAGGAACTCTAACAAAGAACCTGGACACAGGGATTTGAAACTAAAATATCCAATGACTTAGGGCTAGAGAGATGGCTCAGTGGTCAAGAACACTGGCTGCTCTTCCAGAGGATCTGGGTCTGGTTTCCCAACATTCACATGGTGGCTCACAACCATCTGTAATTCCAGTTCCAGGGGATCTGATGCTCTCTTATAGCCTCTGTAGGCACCACACATGTATGCTACACAGATATGCATTCGGGAAAAACACCCGTACACATAAAGTAATAAAATAATTTTTAAAAAAGATCAATGTCTTATAGTGATAAGGATGGTAAAGGATAGACCAGAGGCAGGAGCTAACCACATACTCACTTCTCCGGAAGAAACTCTTACCTGTTCACAAACACATATTGCCAGATGTATTGAGCACTTACTATGTGAAAGGCTCAGCTCTAAAGACATTTGTACATACTAACTCATTTCACCTTCATCATAACCCTATAAGGTAGACACAGTGGTTGGCTCCATTTTATAGATGAGAAAATGGAGGCAACAAGCAGCATGTGTCTTAATATCAGACAGATGGCAGACCATGGAAGCTGCTGGCATGCATTCACACATACTTTTAGTAACTAATGAATGCTTTCCTAGGATATTATAGTCTTTGTCATATTTTGAATATGAAACAATCCCATGGATTAATATGTGTCAGGTGATAGAATGCTACATTAGTTACCTTTGTCACTGTGGCAAAACATTCAAGAGAGTGACTTAAGATAAGAAAGACTTGTTTTGGCTTCAGAAAGCTCAGTCAACGGTTGCTTGGCCCACAGACTTGAGTGGAAGATCGTGGTAGCAGGAGCATGTGTCAGAGGCAGAGCAACCTCTTCACCTCATGATGGAAAGAAAGCAAGAAAGAGGAGGAGAGGCTGGAGAGATGGCCTAGCAGTTAAGAACATAGTCTTCTCTTGCAGAAGACCCTAGCTCAGCTTTCAGCACTCACCTCTGGTGGCTCACAACTGCCAGCTCCACAGGCTCTGGTGCCCCCTTCTGGCCCCCACTAGCACTTGTACTTGCATGCACATACCCCCACACACAAACACACATAATTACAGGTTTCTTTTCTTTCCTTTTCTTTTTTCTTTTCTTCTCTTTTCTTTCCTCTTCTTTCCTTTTTAAGAAGGGAGAAGGGATCAGGGAATATAAATAGCCTTCAAAAGTATTCCCTCAGTGACATACTTCCTCCCACTAGGAGTTTTTATCTCCTCCCCAGGAACTCCACCAGCCAGATACCAGGTATTCAAAAC